GTTTTGAGAATGATGAGGACAATGCATGTACAAATGTGCTTTACACAATTGATGTATGTATGGATTGTGATAAGAGTTGTATGAGCTCCTAAAATAACGATTAAAAAAAAAAAACCTGTGCTCTTCCTGCACTCTGTACCATTGCATGTGGCTGCATGAGTCTGAAGAGGGCCTTACGGACTAGTATCACACACGCACTTATGGACTTGAGTTGGACAGGGCTGGCATGTGTTATTGATGCATAATTGCTTCCTGACTTAAAGCTCTTTCTCACACATATATGAGTGTCACTGGATTTGTTTCTCTAGTCAACGCCACTTTAATTACACAAGTAACAACCAAAGAAATGGATAGATGAATTAAAAATGGCCAAAAAAGTTGATAATTGGATGATAGGCATATCATGGGTTCATTATTCTCTCCACTTTGTATATTTATTTGAAAATTCTGTATAAAAAGTTAGAAAAGGAAACTAGTGAGTCAATATCAATCTCTCCGAATAATATCAACTTCTAGCATATGATGGCACTACGATTTACCTGTTCTAGGGGGAGCTTTGAGGTCCAGGTACTATCCAGAAGATTCTTCTTCTCACCTTTAGGGGCATCTCTCAGACGTAAAAAGAGTTCATGTGCATTCAAATAACATATCTGACACACACCGTGTTCAGTTTCAAACACCTTGGCTCGAAGGTAACCATTGTCAGATCGAATCCAAAACTCCTCCTGACATTTCAGAGAGCAGAACCGTGAATCCCAGGCATTCCCTTGACGCTCTTGTTCAGGCTGGCAAGTGGGCTGCTGACAGCTAATGCAAAGTGGATTCCCTTCCTTATCCACAGCTTGCAAATAGCCGTTGGAGGCAGGCGCTTTCACAGAGAGATCGGCTGGAGCTGTGCAGGGATTCAGAAGTGGGACGCAGGCACCATCTGGGTTGTAACTGGACAAAACATTGGATTGCAACTAATTTCATGACGATTTTAGTGTAAATAAACTGTCATTGCTTTGTATAAATGCCATCAAAATCTCTATAGAGACAACTGGTAAATATAGAGCCCCCACAAATTTCTGATTCTGTATGGTAATGACATAAAGTCAGGACTTTACATTCTGTTTCAAGTAAAGAGTGGAATGCAATTTGCCTCTCGGGAATTTAGATACCTTTAAGGAAGCAGCCCGACTTTGACATGCCTGGAAAAGTTAGAGATGAGAACTTACAGAATGGCCATTACGGCTAATGGAAGACTCTAGCCAAAGGTTAGTCGCTACCGTGCTCTGAGTACTGTGTGTCACACATCTTGTCCTCGTTAGGGGAGATGGGCCATTACTAAGGCTTCCATGGTGTTCTATTGCAGCCTCTGCTGGCCTACAGGAAACAGAATCTTCACATCTACAAAGTGACACAGTTAAGAAGCCAACAGTGTTGTTGAGAACTGGAACAGGAGACTTGGTAAGCGCGGATTTGACCAAAGTCAACTTAAAAATGGGGTTACTATATTGTGAAAGTTTCTTGCAGTCCCTGAAACAGCCATACAAAGGCAGCTGTCATTAAAAAACGGAGCCCACAGATCAATACAAAGCCGTGGCCTTAGTACGCCTCTGTCCTGGTGGTGCAGATGCTTACTTTGCCGAGGGGTCCCTAGATCCCTTTGTGATCAGACGGACTTGGCCCCCGTCTTTCTTCACCTTCTCCACGGAGGCTGCAGCAACGTCTTCTTTGGTTATGTATCTGAAACAATTACACATTAAATACATGATCTCTCTCTTTTACAACAGTTTCTCTCTTCCAGGTTCATGCTTCTCCTTGGGGAAAAAACAAAAACAGGAGAGCAAGATACAAATTCTATTCATTGTGCTAAGACTAAAGAGAAGAAATGGAATCGTCTCCCTTTATCTCCATTATGTGGAAAACCTGTAGGTTCTTTCTTTTGCGGGGAAATGGGGGTGGTGGTGTTTCTAAACTTTTTTTTAGGGTGTATTTTTCTTCTTTAAAAAAATCATTTTATTGGGGGAGCGCTTGTACAACTCTTTTCACAATCCATACATCCATCCATTTTGTCAAGCACATTTGTAATTTGTTGCCATGATCATTCTCAAAACATTTGCTTTCTGCTTGAGCCCTTGATATCAGCTCATTTCCCCCCACCCTCAAGAACCCTTGATAATTTATAATTCATTATTATTATTTTGTCATATCTTCCACTGTCCATCTCCCTTCACCCACTTTTCTGTTGTCCCTCCCCCAGGGAGGAGGTCATATGTAGATCCTTGTAAATGGTTCCCCCTTTCCACCTCACCTTCCTTCCACCCTCCCGGTATCACCACTCTCGGCACTGGTCCTGAAGGGATCATCTGTCCTGGATTCCCTGTGTTTCCAGTTCCTATCTGTACCAGTGTACATCCTCTGGTCTAGCCAGATTTGTAAGGTAGAATTGGGGTCATGATAGTGGCGGGGCATGGGGGTGGGGGAAGCATTTAGGAACTAGAGGAAAATTTTGTTTCCTCGTTGCTACACTGCACCTTGACTGGCTCTTTTACTCCCTGTGACCCGTCTGTAAGGGGATGTCCAGTTACCTACAGATGGGTCTTGGGTCCCCAATCTACACTCCCCCTCATTCACAATGATTTGATTTTCTGTTCTTTGATGCCCTTTTCTAAGAAACCCAAGAGTCATCTAATATTCTCTTGGACAGTTTTCATTTAAAGAGAAAAGTAGTGGGCATAAGAAATAATAAAATACCAGCCCAACTGACAGGGTTAAGTATACAGCTTCTGAACTTGCAGAAAATCTCTGTTTTTACCTCCCTCCTTCTTGGCTTTCTTCAAGGCTTCTCTGAATCACCTAAACCACTTATAATGGTGCTCTCGGTGCATCCAGGTAAAGTGATTGTCTCTTTCGTTAATCAGGTTCAATCACATCTTCTATAATCTCCCAGTTGTTCCCATTACTACTAGGCCATTCAAGGTTTATAGAATTTTCCACTGAAATAAAGCTACTCTTGACGTGGGATTTAGAACCTTATTAGACAACACTATCATCATCAAACAACAGTTTACGGGCTGGAAGTATAGAGAAAAGTTACTCCAATTAAAGGTGACAAGGGAATTTAAGTAGGTGAAATGCAATTACCCAATTAATTCCTTATAATTAACATGGCCCAGTTTCTCTAGCAGTTTACACCTATTGCAGATATTTTTTTCTGCAATTAGCTTAAAGGCAAATCTGCTTCATATTTTTGAGTCCTTTCAGGTAATAGGTGGGCAGCATGAAAGTTCAAGCACGACCGTTTTCCCTTGGTCTTATTCCATGGCTGCTGGCAGAGGCTTGAGGAAGGGGCAGTAGCAGAGTGCGGTGAGAGGAAATGAGTGGGGAGGGAGTGGAGACCGCCTAGTCGTGGCCCCCCAGCCCCCACCGCCGTGCCTGCCCACCTGGCCTGCAAAGTTAGAGCGCCTATGCCCAGAGCCAGGTCCCCTGTCTCACCTGATGTGGCCCAGGGCTACAAGAGTCTGGTTTGGGGGGAATCTTTAAAACGAGTAGGGGCAAATAATAAATAGAAGATAGCTGTTTTCTTCCGGAAACCACAACCACCACAAGAGAGCGTATCAAACCCAAACCAAGTTCATTGTCATCAAACTGATTCTGACTCATACTGACAGGGAAGGGTATAACCTACAGGACAGGGTATAACTACCTCTGTGGGTTTCTGAGACCATACATCTTTCCAGGATTAGAAAGCCTCATCTTCTGCCCACACTACGACTTGTAGTTTTGAACTGATGACCTTGTAGTTAGCAGCCCAATGCATAACACACTATGCTATAGGATCACTGATATTATATGTGGTTGAATGTTGTCAAATGGATGTTAAGCAATACATATCTTTATGGATTTACCCGATTCTATTGCTGCATATATCAAACAAACATCTGATTAATATGCATTTAGATTGCTTTCAGTCTTGATATCATAAAAAATAATGCAACAGCTTTATGTATCTACATTTTGTACACATTAAGTATATGTAAATAAGCTCCTGAAAGCAGAGTTGTTATGCCAAAAATAAGTGCTTTCATATCAAAAAAGAATAAAAAATGAAAATCAAGACCTTAACCCAACATCTCCATCAACTAGAAATAAACAGCAACATAATACTAAAATCACCAGAAAGGAAAACAAAAAAAACTGGAGTGGACATAAATGAAACAGAAAAACAATACAAAGAACCAAGACTGTAAAGTTGGTTCTTTGAGAGGATTAATAAAATAAAAAAGAAAGAGAACAAGCAAATAACACAAGGAAGAAATGAAATAGGTGCTCTCACAACAGAACCAATGGAAATTCAAAAAAGATAACTGAGTAGAAAATGTGAACAGAAATAAAACAAAAGAAGAATAGTCAGGCTACTAAACTCCTCACACAAAAGGGCCTGGGATCAGATGGCTTCCCTGGTAAATCACAGTAAACAGGCAGAGAAGAGCAGAAACTAACTCTACCCCAAGTATTCCAGAGCAAAGAAAGGGATACAACATTCTCCATTCAGTTTATGGAGCAAGCATAATCCTGATACCAAACCCAGTCAGAGACATCACTAAAAATAAAATTATAGACCAATATGCAAAAATTCTCAACAAAATCCTAGCCAATTAAAAAAAAACACAAAATCATCATTATTAAGTGGGATTCAGACGAGGTATACAAGGATTGCTCAACATCAGAAAAACAAGCAATGTAATCTACTACATATATAAAACAAAGGAAATATCAAGGGATGCTATCAATTGATGCAGAAAGGCATTTGACAAAATCTAACAGCCATCCTGATAAAACGCATTCAACAAAATTAGAATATACATTTCTCGATATAATAAAGGGCAATATATGCAAAACATACCGCCAAGATTACTCTCAATGGAGAGAAACTTAAAATATTCCCCTTGTGAACTAGATCCAAACCAAGACATCCTTTATATCACTCCTATTCAACACTGAAGGGAGCCTTGGTGGCAGGATGGGTTATAGGTTGGTCTATCAAAACCCCCAGCCCCTCTGAAGGAGAAAGTGGAAGTTTTCTATTTTCATCAGCAGTTTCAGCCTTAGAATCCCACCGGTTAGGGAACGGCTGGGCGGAGCACAAGCGTGATCAAGAGGAGCTGCATGGATACTCATGCAGGCTGAACGGATAAGGGAGGGGAGGCAAACACTCCTAAGTATATGGATATAGGTTGGACAGAGGCTATTTATTCATTGGTATTTACCTTTGCTGAAAATATCTCCATGAATGTGGTAGGGCATACAGGCGGCAAAGTTAAGAAAAGGTCCTAGACATAACAGATACTTGAAAGGAATGAGAGGCTGGGCTTGGGGGCTCAGGAACATAGTATCAATAGACCATTTTTTCTACCACAGTCTACAAAAACAATACTCTACATCTTACTGTGGTTAGTCTTGACAGTGTCTTAAAAGTTCATGAGCGGCAGTGTAAGTTGCAACTATTGGTCTGCCCCTGTTCAGAGGAAAAGAAGAGAGATAAAAATCTAAGACACACGGAAAATGTGGAACAAAACACAAAACTGTAAAAAAAGACCAGGCTTACTGATTGTATTGAGACTGGTGGAAACCTGAGCCTACAGCCTGTAGTTACCTTTCAGATCTGGAAAGGAACTCACCCCCAAGGCTCAATTTTCAGCCAAATAATAGACTAGTCTAGGGCCAAGACCAGAGGCAGCAGAGAGTATGGCAAGGAGACTGGTGCAAAGCAGAGGAGTCAGCCCAAGACTAGGAGGTTGAGCAAGGAAACCATGAGACAGAATAGAGGGGTAGTGCTGACCCTATGGGACTGTAGGGCAGAGCACCAGGCAAGCTTCCTGGTCCACAGAGGCAGAGACCAAGGGGCCACATGGCTGAGAGGACTAGAGAGAGACTGGGCCACTGGCTGAGATGTTGCTGTTGCTGTGGACCAATGTACTGTGCTTTTACTGTTAACTGATCCTGACCTGTAACTTATAAACTTCCCCCAGAAACCTTCATCATTGTGGGAAACAAACAAACAAAAACCAACAGACTAGTCTAAATGGGGAAACAAGAACCCTGGTGAAATAAGTACAACTGAGAGTAACCAATCATTGAGATCAAAAGGGCAGCAACTACCCAAGGCCAAAGTTTAGAAGAGTTTGGAAAGCAGTGGGGAATGGAAGCGAGAAATGTCAGGGTGAGATGGGATACACTGCTGTGGGGATTGCAATGGCAGAGATGATACAAAGTGAGTATGAACTATTGAATGGAGAACGTAAACCCTTACCCAATCCACAATAGAAAGTTCTGCTTTGTATTTTTAAGTCACAGATGCTTTCCACTTGGATAGATTTTGACCAAATACTCTCCTTCGCAGTTGTACCAATTTATACACCCAACCGCACTGGAGAAGATGAACGCACTCTCACTGTCCCTCGCACGTGAGGTTTCATTTAGTGAACATTGTTCCTAATAGTGATAGGCATCTCGAGGTAGCTTTTCATTTGTGCTGTTAAGATGGTAGAGATTGTGTTATATGTTTCCATTTTCTCTTATCTTCCTTAAAACAAAAAGAAGTTAAATCACAGTTAATTTCTTGAAAGTTCCTTAACTTGCACTTTTTCATTTTAAACTTCCCCCATTTCAACTACTCTGTTCCCTTGACAAAAACACTTCCCTCAAGTGTTTCTGGGATTTAAATGAATTCAAAAGCATCTCAGCTTTAAGGGAGAATAAGCTATTAAGCTTTGCCTCAGGTTTGATTCACTGTTTAAAAGCTTAGAAACCTAATTCAGTAACTTTAAAAGGTGCTGAGATATCTACTCAGAAATTTAAGAACTAAAAATAAACTCTTGTTTCCTACTAGAGGGTTAAACACAAACTTTTGCAAACCACAAGAAATAGATCAACCAGTCGCAAAGCAGCAGTGGATGATTTTTCAAACTTATTGCTATTTTCTAACATATTACTTTCCCATTGAGATGTGCTAGGAAGTTCAGGTAAGTATGCTAACCCTCACAAGGATGATGATAAAAATCCTAGTTTTGGTAAAAAAAAACCCAACATTTTAAAACGGGGGGAATGTTTTCTGCCAAACTGATTCCTACATTAGGATGGTAGTAGAAAATGTCAGTTTTTATAAAGACAGAGGTGCACGGAATGAGGTCCAGACCACGGACAAGAGACGGGCTCTAGGTTGCTGATATGCTACAATGATTGGCTGTGGCCAAGGGAAAACCGGATGGTGAAAGAGAAGGCTTTCGAGGAGGCTTTCTGCTCCCATAAAGCCGTGGAGGACACAGGGCAGTTCCACTATCCCCTACAGGGTACTGAAATGCAAAGATGTTACTATGAGGACTAAGGTGTGACTGACCCAAGCCCTGGTCTTCACATCATATGCATGTGAAAGTTGGACACTGAATAAAGAAGAACGAGGAAGAAACGATGCATTTGCATTGTGGCGCTGGAGAAGAATACAGGCTGCTAAAAACACAAACCAATCTGTATTGGAAGAAGTACAGTCAGAATGCTGGTTAGAGGCAAGGATGCCAAGACTTCACCTTACATACTTTGGACTTTTGTCAGAAGAGACAAGTTCCTGGAGAAGGGGTTCATGCTTGGTAAAGTGGGATGGCAGTAAAAAACAGGACGGCCCTTAACGAGATGGATGGACACAGTGACTGCATCACTGGGCTCTGGCTTAGGAATGCCTGTGAGGATGGTGCAAGGCCGTGCAGTGTTTCGTTCAGTTGTGCACAGGTTCGCAAGGAGTCAGAACCGACTCCATGGCAGTGAGTTTGGTTTTGGAGTATGTGTGAAGTGGTAACTAATTGTGATTTTGAGTTACCTTTCATATAACTCGCTGCCATAGAGGTGATAGTTTTTTGTTATGCTAATAAGGTGATGTCATTGCTGGGCATGCCCTAACCCTATTGTTTTGTAGTTATGAAGAACACCAAGAACTAAGGAATGCCTTTTTGGGCTATGAGTGTGATTCTGGAATAAAGTTAAAATCCTTACCACTCCCACAATCATCTATTCTGAAATCTGAGAGGAGGATTTCTCAAAAGTGGTACTCACTATGCGACAACTGAAAACCAATCAGTGTGGTGAGAGGCATTCTCCAGCCTTGACAATCAAAAATGTCTCCAGATAGTAGCACTCTGGGGACAAGGCGCCCCTGGCTAAGGACCACTCACTGGCCCATAGGAAACCTTTAACAGTGTCTTTCCTAGATAGCCTGGACAGCAATACTGGCGATCAAATATATTTGCATGTCCATCTTTTTTATTACAATTATTCTTACCCTTAACAATTTATCACGGACTCATACAAATTTGAAAGGACTTCATGAAGTTCACAGAAAAATGTAACTAAAATCCAGGGGAAATTTTCCAAGAATTTTTCTTTAAAGACTTTTCCTATCTGAAGAAAGCATAATTCATTTAATCAGCCACTCAATCCCACATCCCATTAGATGGATTTTGGTATATGCATGGAAAAGGCTAGAGAACAGATAGGAAAGTTCTGGAAGTGAGGATGAAGAGTAATTATGGGTGCATGGAAACAGCAAGCGCCTAGAAGGCTTTCTCTGCCAGTGCTCTTTAGTTTGTTTCTTGGTGATCTCTTCCAAAGCTAGAGCTGGACTAGGGAACAGCTGACCACTTGTCGTCACAACCCTTGCTTCTAGCTAAAGGGAGACACCTGAGAAAATGGGATCCTAGACCACATAAAGGGATACTTGAGTTTAGCACAGATGATGCTGATGTCCAGACAGGAGTGGTCCCCATGGGACCAAGAGTAGAAAAGGACCTGTAATGACAGAAGCAAAGCAACCACAGATATCCGCCAATTCACCTTTCACCCTTCTTTCCATTCCGTTTCCAATCATGGGGGTGATGAGAGTCACTGTCTACCACTTAGGGCGGTGGGGAATTCAGTCACAACCAGCTTTTCTGCTTCTTGGCTCCCCAAACTAACCCCAGTGAAGTGCCAGACACATGGGGTGGAAAGGCAAGAGATATTCTTGGAAATGTCTTCTTGCTGCCAAATGGGGGGTCTCAGGAGTGGCAGGTCACAAGCTGCATGAAACCGTGACTCTAGCTTCTCTACGGGTGAGCAGGGCTCGTGATGAGCAAGACCAGACAAGGAGTCTTTCCCAGTGGATCTGGTCACATTAAAATATACCTAATTATGCAGCCACGATCTACTAAGTAATTACTTTATGCATGATTTTCTTTTAACTTGACAGAACTTCATTCGTGATTACATAAAATCCCTCAGAACCCCTGGAGAAAAGGCCACAAAGAAGTAATAGAAGAAAACAAAATCAGAAAGACAGTTCAAGTTCATACCTTTTGGTACTGTTTGGTTTGGTTTGTTGCTTTATGATCTCTTCAAAAGCAAGAATTGGGCTACAGAACAGCTGACCACTTTTCCTGATAACTCTTTGTTTCATGGCAGTTAGACTACTCCATTCTCGAACAAACCTCAAAATCTGCAAGAAAAATAAGATAACAAAAGAGCTGGCAGCTGGAGAGGCATCTTTGAGGCTATGGCCTTTGATAACATCAGAAAACTGAAGTTTTATTGTTGTTGGTAGGTTCCATCAAGTTGGTTCTGACCCATAGAAACCCTAGGCACAACAGAACGAAACCCTATATGGTCCTGCACCATCCTCACAGTTGTTCCTATGCCTCAGCTTGTTGATGCAGCCACTGTGCCAATCCATCTTGTCGAGGGTCTTCCTCTTTTTAACCACCCTTCCACTTTACCAAATATGAAGCCCTTCGCTAGGGAACTGGTCTCTCCTGACCAGATGTCCAAAGTATGTAAGTTGAAATCTCGCCATCCTTGCCTCTAAGGAGCACTCCGGCTGTACTTCTTCCAAGTCAGATTTGTCCTTTTAGAAGTTCACGTTGCTTTCAATAATTCTTCTCCAGCACCACAATTCAAAAACATCAATTCTTCTATGGTCTTCCTTATACAATGTCCAACTTTCACTTGCATATGATGCAATGGAGAATACCATGGCTTGGATCAGGCACACCTTCGTCCTCAAAGTAACATCCTTGCTCCTTAATACTCTAAAGAGATCTTGTGCAGCAGATTTACCTAATGCAAATGCATCATTTGATCTCTTGATTACTGCTTCCATGAGCATTGATTGTGGATCCAAGTAAGACAAAATCTTCGACAACTTCAATCTTTTCTCCATTTATCATGAAGTTACCTGTTGGTCCTTTTGTGAGGATTTTGGTCTTCCTTACATTGAGCTGTAATCCATACTGAAGGCTACAATCCTTGATCTTCATCAGCAAGTGCTTCAATTCTTCTTCATTTTCAGCAAATAAGGTGGGTCATCTGCAAATTGCAGGTTGTTAATAAGCCTCCCTCCAATCTTGATGTCACATTCTTCTTCATATAATCCAGCTTCTCTGATGATTTGCTTGGCAAACAGCCTGAACAAGTATGATAAGATACAACCCTGATGCAAACCTTTCCTGATTGATTTTACAGTGTACAGTATTCCCTTGTTCTGTTTGTCTCTTGATCCATGTGTAAGTTCTTCATGAGCATAATGAAGTATTGTGTTTTGTTTTTAATTTGGAAACTCAAAAGTCTACTTGGGGGAAATTTTATTATATCCCCCAAATAGAATCGAGTTTCCAATTAAAAAACAAAGACCAAGCCAATTGCCATTGAATCTTTTCCAACTCATACCAACCCTACATGAGCTTTCTGAGGCGGTAAACCTTTACTGGAGCAGATACCCTCTTCTTTCTCCTGCAGGGTGGCTAGTGGGTTTGAACTCCTGATATTTGGGGGAGCAGTCCAACACCTACCCAACAGTGCCTCCAAAGTTCCTTTTAGGTTTCCTCTGATTTTCACAGTTTCCGATCTTTGTTGTGAATACTCTATACCAGTGGTTCTCGCCTTTAATGAGTATAAGGACTTACAGTGATAACGTGGTCATAGGACCCAAAAGTGGTCTTGCTGTGTGAAGTAGCAGTGGTGCAGGCAAAGCTAGGGAAAGTGGGCACTGTGGTGCTGACAGTGAGAATGGCCGTGTACCAGGGTTTTGAACTGGTTCCTCCTGGTTCCTTCAGGAGTGATGACTCGAAACCGGAATGGACCCAGATTTGTCCAATGTGGTGAACCTAAGCAGACTGAATGGAAAACTATGGGTCATGTACAGCTAGATATTTATTCTCTTAGAATATATGAGCACCATTCGCATTGTATAGCAACCAAATCTCCTGGCTGGCAGAGCTAGAGACCCCATGCTTTTGAATGGGTGTGGGTCTCTGCAGTCCCGGCAACAGTCCAATTTCCTACATCAGGCTCCTGAAAGGGCTCCTTCTGCCTCCTCTGAACCTGCCATTCCAGTGCTTCCACCTGGAATGCTTCCTATCCAGGTAATCATTGACCAAAATTTAAACATTTGGGTCTGTTTCAATTTCAACTTAATTGGCCATGGCCAAACCTGTTCTAACTGTTTTGAGGCCCTGCTACATACTGAGACTGACTCAATTATTATAGGAGACTAGCCGTAAATAAACCTAGGGTTTTTTTTTTTATGGGTTAGCTGTCTTTTAAGGGGCCCTGTGGGTCAGGTGTTGGGTTGCTAACCATAAGATCAGCAGTTTCAACCCGCCAACCCTCTGCAGGAGAAAGACGAGGCCATTTGCTCCTGTAAAGATTTAGTCTTGGAAACCTTGTCCAGGGTCGCTTTGAGTTGGAACTGACGAGTTGGCAGCGATATCTCTGATGGAACAGGTCCGTAAACCAGAACTCATTGCACGGAGACGATTCTGACTCACAGTGACTATAATGTTAACACCGTAGAACTCTCTTGGAGGCCTTGCTCATCTTTGTGGAGCAAGTTGCCAGGTCAGATCTCCCGAGGAGCCCCTGGTACGTTTGAACCACCGACCTGTTAGTTAGCAGTCCAGCACTTTAACTGCTGCTCCAATGGCTCAC